AAATCCAATATATATATTAATATCTAGTGCCTATTTAATATTGATAAGAGTATTATACAAAAAATACATTTTTATTCAATATTTAAAAGGGCATTATACAAAAAATATAGTCTTATTCAATATTAAAGTTTAAAAGGTAAATCCAAAATATGTCTAATCAAATACAAGAAGAAATTGGATCGGAATTGATTTTTATTAATTAAGAACAAATTAGTAACTAAGAACGGACCTTGATGTTTTTGATATTTTTGTCTTTGTACTTTTAATGGTTATAAGGGTACCTCATCCACTGAGTTTTGATTTTCAATAGCCATTCTTGCTTTTTATTTTAAAAAAATTTATCTTTTTTAGGATGTCATTTAATATAACTCATTATGTACCACATAATCTAATTTTTTACCCAAGTGCCACCAAAGAGAAGGATTAGAGAGCTTGAGATGAAGAAGGAGAGAGTGAGAGTGGAGAAGAGGAAAACTTGAGAGAAAGTGAAATTTATGAGATGTTAGGATTTGAATATTTTATTTATTTGTACTTTTACGATTAGAAAATTAGAAATTTAACATTAATTTTTAAATAATTTAATAAAAATGAATAAAAAAAGTTTGCGTCATTTTGGGTGACTTGATCCACCCGTGATCCAACCCATTTGAGTTCAGATAATTTCAATCTGAGTTATTTCAGATTTAGAATTAACACATAAAACATATGATCCTACCCATAATGGATGGGTTGGGTTGGATTTTCGGATTGGATTCAATTTTGTCAAGTCTATCATCATTGTTTTTTCTAGATATTATATACAAGCAGAGCAAACAAAACACAGCCATAAATTAAAATCTAAAGAGAAACAAATGCAAATGCAGGGAGCTTTAAACAAAGATAGATTATTTGCCACTTGAAATGGATTGACTTCTTGGGATTTCATTTTCTCCAAATCTAGTTATTCTATTCTATTCAAGCCTGGTTTAAGAGCAATGCCCAGGGTAATATGGTCTACAAGGTGACAGCAGGGATTGAAGAGGAAATGGAAATCGAGTAGTTAGAAATGGAAATTAGAATAAGATTATGAGGGAGTTTAGGGCTGGGAAAGGGGGAAAGAAAGAGTAACAGGAAGAAAGAGAAACAAGTTAGGGCTGGGGAAAATGATAACCATACGGGTGTTAAAGTAATTTCAAAACTTTTATTTAATAACTATTTATTAAATTAAATCCATGTACTTTACTTTAAAAATTATCACATTATGATAATTTTATAATTTAAAAAATGCCACATCACCTATTTTGTTTCCACTTAATATTTAATATTAATAAAAGTTGAATTACTTGACGGAAAACTTAGTCACATCGGCGTTCAACTAACAGAAGAACTAAATTAATTCCAAAAATTGAAATTTGAGGATTTTATTAGTACTTTTTTAAGTTTAAGAGTAAATTTGATTCAAAAATAAAAGTTAAGAGAGTAAATTAAGTATTTAACCAACTTGAAATGTCGGTAGTATCAATTAGAGCCCGACATATTAAACAGCTAAACAGCTAAAGTTGACCTTGAAACTCGAGCTGTTTGACCATTAAAAAGAAAAAGTATTCGAGCTGATTTACAACCATGTCGGAGGAGTAGGTTATTGTGAATATTCTAATTAGTTAACTTCATATTTTTAAATGTAATTATTTATTATATTTTTATATTATGTATTTTTTTAAAATTTTAAACTTTAATAGATTAAAAAATATAATAATTTTTTTTAAATATATTAAAATTATTTACATGTATTAAATAAGAGAAAAAAAAAAGATATTTGTAAGATTCGAACACATTACTTATGAGAGACAAACAATTCTAACTCAAAATTCGTGTCACTTAATCGGAGCGTTCTAAAAAAATATAATAACTAATTAATATAAAAAATATAATATTAATAATTAAATATGTAATAATAACATTTCTTATCTAAAAGCTATATTAGAATTACA